CCCCAAAACCCCAAAACCCCATGATGATCTAAATTTGGAAAGTGGCAAAATGCATCATTAAATTTATTTACTCTATCATTTATATATTCAGTTATTGTGTGATAATGAGCTATAATAGAAAGATTTTACCTTAATTTAAAACAATATAATAACCTTAATTTACTGGAGAAAGTCAGCATAACCTAGCAACTAACAAAAAAATGCCTTAGAGAACTAGATAGAATGATTTATTCTTAACTGAAGTAAATGTGAATGAAGAAATGGATAAAGATGCTTAGGAATAAAATGACCATATTTAAATAGGGTTAAATATGCTTATAAAAAACCTATATACTTCAGAGGAGTATTATAAGATATCCCTTTAATTTAAGGATTCGCATCTTGAGCGAGAGTACGAAAAAATAATCCATGAGAAAATTAAGTATATGGGAACATTGTTCTTAATCTTTGCAACCTGTATGATCATTTTCTTTATAAGTTTCTTTCCTTGGGATATGTATTAACAAATGAATACTGGCTCAAAAGTATTGTTCTGGATCGGAAATCTAGTATACTATGCTTTTCAAGTCATAACTTACATATTAATGCGGAAATATAGGACATTTTCTTATTTTTATGCCTATATTATTGCTGCACTTCAAACAGTATCATTAGAATTTGACTTGCGAACAACTCATGGTAGCGATCTCGACTTAGATGCTATTTACATATTCATATTTGCTTTAGCTTAAATATCTAATACCTTTTATTGCAAAAAGAGATAGCTTATATACTAGGCACTTTTTCTTTTATATGTTGCCATTAGATTTTGGTTTTACATAGGAAATTTATATCAGTACATAAGGACTTTTCTCCTAGTTACATTTGCATTTATCTTCATTTATAAATTTTCAAGAGATTCTATGATTAAAGATAGGGAAATGTTTGTTTCCAAGAACAATCAAAGATAATTACTTAAAATATTTCATTCTCTGATTAAATCACATCATGATGGTATAACTATTACATAGGGAGAGGAAATTCTATATTATAATTCACAGATTCCAAAAATATTTGAGAAAGGCATTTTTAGAATGAATAATTTCAATGGAGGTAATAGAAAGGAATCAATTGCTTCATGTAGGTCAGATCAAAGTGATTTTAATAAGTAGATCATTTAGAGAATGAAAAAATCTAAGCTTAAGATAAACAAAAATTAAAGTGAATAAGCTTAATCAGGCTTATCTCTTGCTGAAAAATTTGACAATATTTGGGAGTATATTAAGTTCTAATCAAACTTAAGTACTAGTCATATTTAAAAAAGTTAATAATAGGAATAATCAGAGGGAGTGTATTTTAAACTTAAATAAAAAATTCCAATTTAACAAGAAGTTGATAGTCTTGTGGCATAAAAATCTAAATAGCTTTAGGTCTTTTCAAACATCATTTAGAATAAGGATAACTCATTTGTAGTAACCACTATCAGAGATATGTCTCATTGGATTGAACTTGAGAGGCAAAAAAATTTAACAGTAGCAAAAACTTTAGCATTTGCTTCAGCTGCTCATGAATTCAGAAACCCACTAGGAGCAATAATAAATTCACTTGATCTAATGAAAGACTCCTTAGATATGTAAAAAGCTGAAAAATTCTATCTAACTGCTAAAAATTGTTCGAATTTAATGCTGTATTTAGTGAATGACATTCTTGATTATAGCTAAATAGAGACAAAGTCTCTTGTACTAAACGTAGACTAAATCAATGTTAAAATTTTCTTAGAAGAATGCATTTCAATACTCTAATTTCGAGCTGATCTTAAAAGAATATTACTTTGCTATCAACTTGAAAGTGGGTTTCCTGACACAATACAATCAGATGAAAACAGATTAAGATAAATTTTACTTAATCTAATCTCAAATGCTATAAAATATACAAATTAAGGTTTTGTGAGAATAAACTGTTTCATTCTGAAAAATTAACTTTAAGATAAAGTAGCTAGATTATGTTTTGAAGTTGAAGATTCTGGAGTTGGGATTGAAAAAATAGATTAATAAAGACTTTTTCAAGCATATTGCAAGAACTTTAAAAACCGTTATCTCAACAAGTAAGGATGCGGCTTAGGATTAACTATTAGCAAAAATCTCGCTCTTGCCTTAAATGGAGACATAAATGTAACCTCTGAGATTGATAAAGGTTCTAAATTTACTCTAATGCTTCCTATTTACAAACAATCTAATATTGAACAAGAATTTGTCTACAAGAAAGGGTTAGCCAATAAAAAGCGAACTCTATAAATAGAATATGTTCATAGGCAGCACCCTTACATTAATAAAGAGACGAAGAAATAGAAAAATTCTTTCATTAAATATGGAATGGAATAAGATCTTTCAATTGATTTTGAGACGCCTTAAATTTCAGAAATCAATAATTATGATTTAGATCATGATATCAATCAAACAAGTTATTCAAACTAAAATTAGCATTAGCTACACAAGAATATTGGGGGCTATTTGAGAAACTAAAAGAAAATGAAATTAATCTACCGATAAAGAAGTAACTCAATCTCTTCTCATAAAGATCTTACAGATCTTGATCAAGAATAAGAGTCATTGAATTTGAGTGATGAAGAAAGTAAGATAGCCCAAGTAGAAATCTGTAATTGTGCGAAAATTCTCGTTGTAGATGATGATCCATTTAATATAATTGCTCTTGAAGGAATGCTTAATTAGCTAGGTATTGTAAAGATAGAAAAACTATTCAATGGCAAAGATGCTATTAATCATCTGGTAAAAGTTTTTGAGAGTACAAATTAACAGAAATTTGAATTATAAAATAAAACATGCAATAATCACTAGCCTTACAAGTTGATTTTATTAGATAATTAAATGCCATTTAAAACAGGGATCTAAGTTGCTTAAGAGTTAAAGTCAATGTACGGAGATCTAATAGAATAATTAAATATCAAGCTAGCAATGATATCAGGTGATGGTGATTTATTGTAAAACCATATTTACTAGGAGACTTTTGATTATCTATTATAAAAACCTCTATCTGTTTCTAGGCTAAGACAGATAATAGTTGAAAATGGGTTATTGTGATTTAACTTTCAAACAATGATATTTATTCTATTGAATATGATTATATTAATGTATTATTTTTATCAAAATTATTATATCTAGTTTATTTAGGAATATTGGGGTTTTGGGGTTTTGGGG